CGGCTGCCCCCTCCCAGGTGGCTGCTCGGTGGAGGGAGAGCAGGAAGGTGGAAAGGCACGAGCGCAGAGGGACAAGCTGGCGTTTCCGCCTGCTAGTGGCTTTGTGACCCCCGGAGGATCGGGGCCTGTCTTTAGCGAGACGTTGAGACCTATGAGACTTGACTGCACGGCTCCTGGCAAAGGTTTCCCATGGCTCGAGGGAGAATCACTGTAGAAAGGCGTTTCCGACTACGACAGGCCTGATAAATTTAAGGTCAAGTTGGTATTTCCTGGCACAAAGCGTGGCCTATTTAAAACATCTGTTTCAACAAACTGCTGTGGGCTAGGTCATAAGGAGGCGTCAGGTATTAGTCAAGGTTTGTGGCCTAAGCCTTCCTTTCTTCAGGTAAACAAATTGTTTTTAAGAGTGCAGTTCCCAGGATCAGCAGATGGTGTAATGGTTACATTGTTGGACTTCCATGTAGTTGAGCACGGTTTGAGTCCTGGACCTGGCAGCTTAAAACTCATGTGTGGTACGTGTACGTGCGTGCCCAAAATCCTGAGAGGAGAATGGAGGAGAAGGGATTGTGGCATGCCCATCCCCCGGAGAGTGATTTCTCACCTTCCGTCTCTGTTTCTCTCTCTCTGGCGCACATGCCCTGTAGTACAGATCTCTCTTGAAAAAATAAAAACAGTGTGGTTCCTCAAGTCACCACGAGGTCTTTTGGAGCACCTGCCGTGCCACGAGCTTTGCTCTGCTTGATGGCGATGGTAACTGGCCCTCCTGTCATTGCTGCTGACCCCTACGGCCTCTGCAGCCGCTTCCTCTGCGGCACCCTCAGTGCTGGTCGGTGGTGAGCTCTGGGTCCCGAGGGTGGCACCTTTAGAAGCCTCTGCAGGGACCAGCAGGTCTGCCCGCATTCTCGTGTGTCGTAATCCTTTCTCCAGGCCAAGGGATCTTTAACCGTTCACCTTTCATGATCTGCCTATTGGTCATTGAATTGTATACAGTTAGTGCTAATTTTCCCTTCCTTTTTCTTTTCTTCCGTAGGGTGTTCCAGAAAAGCAGCATAGTGACTGAGTCCTCAGACCCCCGACTGGAAGAGTAAACGAGATCTGGGGAGAGAATCTGTGGTCCCGGATTGTAACAAAGATGACCGCTTTCCTGAGTAATCTGTAGATCGGGCTGACTGCCAAGGACTCCGGGGAGAGACGCTCACCAGTCTAGCATAGCGGGGCGGAGAAAACAGCTACTTACCGTGCCCGGCTGCGCACACCTGTCTGTGCTCTGGAACATCCTGCCCGGCTCTGGGCGTTCAGGCAGGTGGCAGTTCCCAAGTATTAGATTTCTCTCATGTGATTAAAAACCAGTTGCCATATTTCAAAGGCGTGAACTAAAACTTCATCACCAACTCCCAATTTTGTGTCAGTGTCCTAAGGAGACGAGTTGATGGTACTTACAGAGGCACAGTGTGGAGTAGGAGCAGTGGCAGCCGGGGCACATGGAGATGGGTCGTGTGGAGAAAGCGGAGAGCCAGGCGACCGGGCGCCAGGGCAGTGCAGCAGCGCTCCGCCGTGCCTGCTCGGCGCTGCAGTGCACGCTCACGTGTTGCACACACACACGTGTCACCGCTGGTAGACGATGCCTCTCTCCCCGCCCACAGGAGCCTGTATAGACAATCTACTGAGTGCAAAAGGCAATGGAAGGTCACTTCCACACTGTGAAGCTGGGATTCTCACCTCCGTCGATGAAGTTTTATCCAAAATCCATGACTCTCTAAGTGAATTCCTGTCTGACCCGCATTTCATTCTTAGCCAAAATGGTGTGTTTCTTTGTTACTCCGGAAGAGCAATGACTGTTTTTCCCACAGCCCACGAAATTTGCAATCTGTGATTGCTGTGTAAGAGGAGTGTGCGTGTCACTGCATTCAACACGCAGCGGCCCCAGACAGACGCCACCGCAGAGAGCACGGTGTCCTCGTTGAGTGGCATAGACTGCGGGCAGCCTGGTCCGCCAGCGTCGGGTCCTGAACTTCAAGTGCAATGTGTGTGGAGACCGATCTGAGCCTTGTATTCTCTTCACTATTTATTTTTTTTAATGTACGGGATGTTCAAGAGAGGGATTCTCCATTCATTTCAGTGCTGCATGGAGGCAAAACTCAGCAATAATTTCTTTCAGTTGTAAAGTTCCTTCATTGTTGTACCCGCCACTGAGCCCTAGTCTTTGAAATACTCCAGTTTTATGGGTTTAGTGCTTTTTACTTACAAATTTACCTTTTTGTATTTTGCAGTTTAAATGTTTTGGTTTGTTTTAAATTCTGTGAACATGACTTGACTGAAAGCCTCCTGGGAATGGAAGCCAGCGGTCTGCAGAGTAGGCCTGAGACTGGGGTGCGGGAGTGTCGGCGTGTGGACCGGGCTTCGTCCTCGTGCTGGCCCTCGGGGTTTTCTGGTTTGGTTTTGAGGAAACTGTCTTGGAATGTTTTAGGTTACTGAAGCTAATTGGTTTTAGAGGAATTTTGTTAAACAGAAAATGGGGTCATTCTGAACTTTGGATTGATCCCTCGTAATTTTTCTGAAAATGAAAACATTAGTTCTGTGAAAACTTTTTTTCAATGAAGATGTCGGCATTTTATGAAAAACCAGAAGTTATTAGATGAAAGCAGTAAGTGAATCTTTAAAATCTACTTGATCATGCACAAAAAATAAGTATTTTTTCTCTTAAGCTGGAAGTAAATCTATATCTGTTAGAAATGATGTAGCCAAAATGATGCAAACCTAAAGGATTTTTTGCCAATAGTTTATAGCAAATATAAGAACCAAAGTGATTTGAGTTTGTAAAAATGTAAAAAATGTAAAATAGTATAAACAAAATTTGCACTATACCAGATTTGAACACCTAGTGAGATTCACATTCATACTGAGTTTTCAACCTTGTGGGGTTTTTTGCATTTATTTTTTACTTTTATTAAAGGTTCAAAACCAACTGTTGTGCTTACGGGTGTTTCTTTCTAAAAGAAGAGGGGAGATGTATTTATTGTGTAGAATGTTAGAATTCGTAATGGAAAAATATTTTGTAACTCTTCAAATTTTACCAAATTTCAACACAGACCTCTTAGGAAATCTCATCTGGGTTATGAGCGAGAGAGACAGCACCCCGGCAGACCATCCCAGCTGCAGCCAGCCTCAGGTCGTGGACTTGTGTGTCTAGCACGCTCAGAAGGGCTCGGGGAGGTCTCCAACCGTGAGCCTCGAGCCCTCCCCTGTGGACCAGCCTCATGGAGCACCACTGCCCGGCCCCTGCACCCTGCACCCTGCTTCATGCAGGATAAGGCGATAGCGGCCTGCAACTCCCGGCTCAGCACAAGTGGGGAGAGCTCCTGCCAGGAGCATTGCCCGGGAAGCAGGCATGTCCTCTGAGCTGAGATGCTAGAGTCCCCGGGACATTTGTGCCATGTCAAACACCAGTCCTGTGGGTCTCATTCTGGTGTCCACTCTTCCTACTCTAGATTTGGGTACAGAGTAAGAATTGGAGGTTAACGTTGCCTGGAGTTCTTCCAGTGTATTACACTGAGTTATTAAAGGCAAGGGGTTGGGGCCAGCAGATGGCGTAACGGTTACATCGCTGGGCTCCTACATAATTGACCGCCGTTCAAGTCCTAGACCTGGCAGCTTAGAACGCTCTGGACGCATGTGTGTGCATACCCAAGATTCCAAGAGGAGGATGGGGAAGAAGGGATTGTGGTGTGGCCATCCCCCCAGGGAGAGGGTGATTTCTCGCTTTCTGTCTCTGTCTCCAGTGAGCTCATGCCCTGTAGCAAAAATATCACAAAACAGAGCTCATGCCCTGTAGCAAAAATATCCCTTTACAAAAAAGGTACGGGGTGTAATTCATAAAAGAGCTCCTCGTTCTCTGTTCAGCTGCGTGGTCAAGGCCTAGTGAGTAACTCGAGGTTCCCCACGTGTTAGATGTCACCTGCGCTCTTACACAGGAATTTCCTGCAGATTCGTCTCAAGACGAAGTAGATACCATCTGCCCCTCTGATGGTCTGGCTCCCTCCCTGGATCACAGGTACCCATATCTGGGGGCAAAACAGAAACGAGAAAGAGAGCTGTCCATATCTGAACTTGCCCTCCCAGTCAGCATGTCAGAGTAGACAACCTTGGGGCCAGCAGGTGGCCAACCACAGTGTGAGTCCCAGACCCGGAGGCTTGACAGTCACGTAGCCTGTGTGCGTGCATGCCCCAAATCCCAGAACAGAGAAGGGACTATGGCGTGGTCATCCCTCTGTGAGGTGGTTTCTCACTTTCCCTCTGCATCTGTCTCCAGTATGCACCTGCACTCTGTGGCAGAAACCTTAAAAAAAAAAAACACTTTGCTAGGAATACTCCCTTTCTGAGAGTTTCGGGTTACCTCTCTGTAAGGAAACTACTTAGCTGATGGAGCCCTAGACCAAGGATATTACTTTGAAAGTCCCACTCCTGTAACACACGAACAAAGGTATTAAAGTCCCGCCTCAACATAGCTCACGCCGTAAGCTGCCCTCCTCCACCACGGCCACCTGTCCCTCCTGGCAGGAGGTGGGTTTGTAAGCATCGCGTTGGCCATGAGAGGGGTTCTGGTTGGTCCCCGAGTGCAGTGAAAACAGGCAGGGAGGTGAGCAACAGGTGTGAACTAGGTCCAGCAGTGTGCTGGTTCCCTCCACGTCTCCACAGGACTCACACCTGAGGAGTCTCCTGACTTCCCCCTTGGAACACCTTGTTGCACCTGGCACACGATGAGCCCTCAATAAAGGAGAATCCCCCTCCGGCCCGGGCTCTGGGCAGAAGACCACGCTGAGGCAACGCACGGCAGCGGGACGTGGGAGAGTGTCTCGTTACTACTTCTGTAGGGCGGTTTTCTGAGAGCTTTGAGACCCTCTGGACTAACTGGCCACTACAGATTTGTGGTCCCTTCTCATGTCACATTCTCAGGCTCAGGAATATCACACAGGAAGGGGCCAGCAGGTGGCATGGTTATGGCCCTGGACTCCCATGTGGCCGACTGTGGTTCGAGCCCCAGACCCAGCAGCTTGAAAATCACTCAAGGTGCATGTGCATACGTGCCCAGGGTCCCGAGAGGAGAATGGAGAAGGGATTCTGGTGTCATCCCCCAGGAGCGACATCTCACTTTTGTTCTCTCTGTCTCTCTCTGGCTAGTGCATGTACCATATGGCAAAAACCTAGAAAAAGGGGGCCAGGAGGTGATGTGGTTAAGGTGCTGGACACTCCCACATGGCTGATCACAGTTCGAGCCCCGGCTTGCTCTCTCTCTCTTTCTCTCTCTCTCTTTCTCTCTCTGTGTGTCTCTCTCTGATCAAATTAAAATAAAATAAATGAATAAATAAAATAATTCTTTTAAAAAATACTAAGAAAAATGAGCTCATGGAAAATGGAATGATTTAAAAAGAAGAGCAGAGCAGAGCACAGGAAGAGCAGACGTCCCACAAAGCGGAGCCCGCCCGTTGTCTTCTCGTTGGGCCTGTGTAGGCTCGTCCTTCCATCCGTCCATCAGGCAGTCTGTGGGACCGCGCCGTTCATTCCCACTCCTCTCCTGCAGGCCACGGGGCACCTGCCAGGGCCACTGAGGCTCGGCCAAACCCCCCCCCCCTGCCATGCCCTGGGAGCTCTGCACCCCTGAGGGAAGCCAGCATCTCCTTCCCCGTCCTCTCCTGGGGTCTCCTGCAGGGCCTGGCTCCGGTCCCCTGCGAGGGCTGCTGGAAGGCTGACCCATGAGCTCCCTCACTCGCGGGCCGGCCGCTGGGCGGGTGTCCTGAGCGCCTGCGCATGGCAGGGGGGCTCACTGCCGGCCACCGCCGGCCACCCCAACGCCTCCTC